AAGCTCTCGATATAGTGAATTTTTGAAAAATTTTTATTAATGGAACGGATCACTTCACTATAAAGAGAGTGACTTGTAGTGTGAAATGCGGATTTTAAATTTCAACAATTAAAGTAACTCTATGACTGTCTAGCTCCAGATTTTTTCGACTTAATATTAAATGTCAAGCACGATCAATTTTTTCATCCAATCAAGTCATCCGGTAACCCATGTAATTTATTATTTTATTGTCAACTCTTTCAGTCTTGTTACCTGTTGATGATTTAACGAAATTTCCTCCATTTGCTAATGGAAAGTATAATTCGAATGATCAGGATACTCAATTCATAAGTGAATTGGTTAAAATTGTTAATGTAATAGATTTTGTTTCGTCTAATAATTGTTCGTTAACTTATCTGCTATATCGGTATATTGACACTGATTATCCTAATAACGTAAACTTTAAATTTTATGCAAAAAGTTGTGAATCTTTGTACTGTACAAGCTAATTTTAAACACTGACTGACTAGAAGTCGTAATAATAAATAAAGTTTAATAAATAATAGACTTGGACAAAGTTTTTCTCCAAGAATTAAACCAAACCAAACTAGTTTATATGTGACTTTTAATATTTACTGTATATCCATATAAAATGTACAATAATGTTATTAGTGTAAGCTAAATAATTTAGAATTTATTTATTTATTTAACTAATTCGACTAAATGTAACATTTTGATAAACAGTTTCATTTAAAACCCTACGTACGAAAATTTCTTAATCTAGAATGTTCAAATAAAAAAGACATGCCTAAACTTTTAATTGAGTTTTATTAATTGCCAAAAGTTAGCAGATATGAATAATTCTGATGGAATATAAAGTAATCCGAGATGGAAGAATTCTCATTTTTATATCATTCCAAAGATTTTTTTCAAGGATTCTCTTGTATGGTTTTACGCTATTGGCAATATCTTCACCAGAAATTTGAAAATAGCGAATAATAGGTAGGATATTTCGTAAAGTAGTCTTCAATGGTTGATAATTCCAAATTTTGACTTCTTCCATTTGTAAATCATCTCGTTCAATAAATGATATTGATGCATTTTCAGGAATTG